TCCGGAAAACTCAATGTCACGCTTCTCTTCCGCAATGTAATCCTATTACGTTGTTGAAGGATAAGTCATGGTAATTAAGCGTAAAGCATTTGGATCAACTGTATCAAAGATGATGGTTTTGTTCTATATTCTTACCGTGTTGTTTCCGGTATCATCTGGCTCTTCTGTACTAGTAAGTTCAGACGCGTCGAAAGTTCTAAGCTTTCGTATAGCCATCCTGCCAGTTCTATGTCCTTGTTTTAGGTCATATGTACTCCGTGCGAAATTTGCATCAAGTGCACTGAACTGACTTTTCGAGCCGTCTGAAACTGCGGATTGAGTACCATCCTCAGTTCCCCTTTTAGCCCATGCAAAACCGCTTGCTGCTGAGGTTTGTACGGAAGACAATGTACTATCTCCCAGTGATGCATTCAACTCGCAATTCTCCGAAACTGTATCAAATTGCGGTTTTAGATTAGATTCGCGGCGCAGAAGCCCTCCTTTCGCCCTCAGGATAAGTGGGTTACCACCATTCATTCTACGAGCAGATTGAGTATGATCGTCTTGCCCATCCTGCACACCCAAAGGATTAATCATTCAGTTAGAACTAGCTTGCTTCATGCTTCATGCTTCCATAACAAAAAAACACACACTGCCACACGCGCAGGCGAGCATGAATAGAAATAGAGAAAGACCTCTTTTGGTGCCAATTTAGCGGAACTATTTGACTCGAGCAAGGCCTTACGGACTCTCCTTGGTTTCCTTGTCTCTCGTGCTCGAATACCAGGTTTTTTTCTGAATAATGTAACAAATACAGCCGTCTAAGTAAACAATTGAAATCACTTCTAAGTAAACATCGCAATTAGAAATGAAAACACCCGCAGAGTCCTACTGACATCTGAATTACAACCTTAGTTTAAACGAAAAATTTTACCTTTGTGATTCCTCCCGAATTTTAGCATCCATTTCTTTGGTAGGAGGATACTTTGGCAAATGTGACGGATCGCATGCATAAGGCTTTGTTTTGAAGTACTGCAATAAGAGATGCCAAGACAAAGAAGTAAACCAGTAAGGGCAGAATTTTTTATGCTCTTAAGAACGTCTCTTCAAACAACGTTGAAAGTAATTTGCCGTCATAAAGTTTTGAGAGTATATTTTTGAAGAAATGTACCTCGGACATTAGGGCAGAGGAGACAGTCCCGCGTTTGTAAGGTTCTACCGAAAGAAGATTCTCTAACATGTCTACTGCAGTAGTTGGAAATTCTTTACACCTCTCCCTAAGAGAACTTTCGTAAGTGTGCTGCGGTTTAAACATAGTTGCGTGAGGAAGCTTTGACGTTTTCCAGTATTCTTCAGGAGGCGAACCACAAAGCTTGAAAATTTTGTGCAGTTGTTCGACCTATAAAACGAGAGGGGAGCTATTAACTTCATCTCGAATTCTAAATCCCATATTGCTAAGGAGGACTCTATTTAAAATCCCTAATTAGAGAAACTTTTAGCGTTGGACGTTAACGTTGTAAGTAATCACCTCGGTTCTTCCTTTAAGGATAGGCTTTCCTAGAAACAGTTCTGCAAATACACAGCCCACGCTCCAGAGATCCACCGAAACTCCATACTCAGTTGCCCCCATCAAAAGTTCAGGAGGACGGTACCACAAGGTCACCACACGACTTGTCAGTGGTTGCTTGCTCTTTGAGTTAACGACATTAGCCAATCCAAAATCTCCCAACTTTAGAATCCCATCGTCGTTTACCAAAATATTCGAGGCCTTGATATCTCGATGCATAATACCTCTTAAGTGACAGTGCTCGACTGCGGATAATAGCTGCCTCAAATAACATTTAATCTACACAGAAGAAAGACCAACCAAACTTATTGACTTGTCTGGCAACGTTCAAACGGTTCAACAAAACTTGTTAGGCAAGAAACTAACCTGCATGTCGCTGAATTTGATCTCGGGACTAGCTACAAGTCCTGCAAGATCGTGCTCCATGTACTCGAATACGAGATATATGCTATTTGATGATCGAGATGTTATTATGCCCTCCAATTTCATGATGTTCGGATGATCAAGCCTGCGAAGAATCATAATCTCTCGAGCCATAAACCTAATACTCTCTGGTTGAAAATTGTCAAATCGCACTTTCTTGAGTGCAACAATCCTCCCAGTTTCGACTTCCTTAGCTCGGAACACACTGCTGTATGTACCTTGTCCAATCTGCACGCATCGAAATGAACTGATGTAAAAAAATCAATAAACTGTAAGCAAATTCCAAAATTTTAAAACTGTAGGGCAAAGCATTAGAAACTACCATTGAATTACATCAAGAACAAAATCCCCTTACAAGTTTTTGAAGGCTTGCACATTTAAACAAACTAAAGATGTGCACTTGCAATTAGATTTATTAGTGATTAATTAATAATGTCATTAAAACTAATGGAAAATGGGAAGATGATCCATGAAAATGTACCTTTTCCAACTTCTCGTAAGCATCAGCTTTGAGGGGGATCCACCCATAAATGACCTCGCCGGCGGCGGCGCTGAGCCAAGAGGGCCAGCCGGCGGAGACTTGCTCTGCCTCCAAAGAAGAACGACTGGAAAAACCCAACCTGAAGCTAAAGGCGCTACCTTTCCCGCCATTGTGACTATTATGGCTGTGATAAGACCCCTCCTTCTCTTTCCTGCTCTTCTTCGACTCTCTCCCGCAGACGACGCTCCGATCCTCCGACACGTCGCCCGGTCGATGATTCTGGGGGTCCTTCTTGCTACCACTCTTCTTAAATTCCGAAGAGTTCGATTTGGACTTTGCTTTGGATTTGGATCGGCTGACGTTGTTGTTGGTGGTGGCGGCGGAGGCGGAGTTGTCCTTTTTCAAGGAAGATGAAGAGGGCTGGAGGAGGACGGAGCCATTGTGGGAAACTGCGGCCGAGTACTCGTAACAAGGAGAAGCCGTGGCAGCCGCCCTCTTGGAGCTGATGCAACCCATTCACCGCCACCGCCAAATCCCGCCAGCATCTATCGATCGGATAATGTGGGGGGTAGATCGCCGATGGATCGAACGGCGGAGATCGGGAGAAGGGTCGATAAGGGGGAGGGGCACCCCTACAGCGTGAGGGCAGTCTCAAAAATGGGTTCTCATTTTCTTCAAGCCAAAGAAAATCGAGAAAACAGAGGCGGCCATATTTGGGTGGTTGTCCCAACGAGCCGGTCGTCCTCCCTCCTCGGTTATTGCGAAATGTGCGGGGGGGATTATGAGGATGTCGCGACTAACGGACCGGAAACAGAGGAAGCAACAGCAACATCGTTTTCACAGTCGACATTGATTTGCGTACGTGGGTCCCTGTTTTTTCTTCATCTTTTCTCTTTCTCTGTTTTTGTTTTTGCTTTTGTATTTTATTTTTGGGGTTTGTGATTTGGGAAAAGAGGAAAAGGTGGGAAATGTAACCGTTGTTGTTTGTTGGTTGCTTTCATGCTTTCATGGTGTTTGGTGCGGTGTACCTGGTTGGACAATGGACAGTCAGTCGCACAGTGACACGGAAAAGAGAGAAAAGGGTAGGAAAGTTTAGAGATGGAAGCTAGTAGGAAGTACTTCCGCACACAAGTGCTTCTTTTAGAAGCATTTAAAAAAAACATGAAAGTACTTTCGTGGCGCGTCTTCAGAGAATATTTCCACACTATATAAACGTTTTAAAATTTTTTCTGACAAACATAGTCAAAAACATTTTGAATTATCAAAAAACACGTTTAGTTATTCCAAAAGCTATCAAAAAACACGTTTAATCATTCCAAGAGCATGTCGCCTAAGAAACTTGAGAGAGAGAGAGAGAGTTGTGTGATGAGTGATGTTGTATGAAATGGGGAGGTGAGGGTGGTGGTGATGGAGGTTGCAGGCCAACTACCCAACAGCCTTGGTGCTTTGTATGATTATATATCCAGATGCAGGCTATATATTATTAGCTTTTTTGTCGCCCCTGTATTTTTGTTTGGTTTTGGATCTTTGGCTCCTCCACTTGTTCGATAGAAAAAAAAAAGCAATAAATAAATAAAAATAAAACACACAATCTTTCCTAATCCACATCAAATTGTTTACAATATACGTCTGTGTTAGCAGACCATGCTATTCAATGATTACCAGTTTAAATTCATTAATTCTTTTTCATTAAATAGTACGTGAATTAAAAGTTGTTACCTATTATAATCCTAACGTATTTCCTCACTCTCCGTCACTTGTGACTTGAGCTAATTGAAATGTTTAATGTTTGTTAATTAAAGTTGTGCTAAATTTTATGAGTTGGGAAATAAGCAATTTCGGATTAGATAAATAAATAATTGGTTCAAATTATTGAGTGTTTCAGTTCCTTATGTGAGCTGTTCGACGTTGGAACAGTTATTTGGACGCACACACTAATTTATGACGTGTTTACTAACTCGAAATTAGAGAATGAGGATCCTCTCCTGGCCTCTTTGTGAGAATCCTGATAATCCTCAAATCGTGTTTGTTCATCATACATCGTACGGTCAGAAATCATTGTAAATAATCTTATTTTAAATTAAATATGAATACTACTTGTCGGAAACTGACCGCACGATATACGATAGATGGACACGATTTGAAAATTCTCAGATCCTTATAAAGAGGATCCGGAGAGGATCCTCCTGGGAAATTAGAACACATTTACGATGTATTTTCGCAGTCAAAATACAAACAATATCCCAAATGGCAAATGAGTTGTCCTGCTTCAACTTCTTTTGGTCGCTTTTGTGCCGCTCATATAACAGCCCACATAAGCAGGTACCGACAAAAAGTATGAACATCTCAAATGAGCAATTAAGCAGAAGCAAGCGGGACACAATAGCCAGGTAGCTTTGCTTTGTTCCAGTAAAAAGAAAAAGCCCAAAAACGTGCCTGTACCCTTTTCATGAAACGGATGTCTCGCATTTGCTATATCTTTGAACGGCACACGAGCTTATACATGAGAAATGTAACCAGAAAGAAACAACCAACATAGACGGAAATAACTGAAAAAATCCAGGTAGATTCAAAGCACATTTATACATCAGTTGTATACTTGTATATTCGCATTTCCTCGAGAAGTAAGTCTATATGAATACGACCCTATTTCTGCATTCGAATTTACAAATAATGTCGGGCCTATGCAGCCAAGCCTATAAACCATCCACATGTGCAGCAGTACATATCAAAAAGATCACACACCTTCTCTGTATTTGTTCATTTTGCATCGTGTTAGTTGGTTGGACTTGAATACTGACCTTTACTTAACGGATTTCACCAAAGCACTTTAAACAAAGATTTGTTCTTCTTTTAGCTGAAGAAGTACCGGTCTCTGGTCATTGTTTCCATATTCTCTCCCTTTGAGTAGGGTATGCTGTGAAGCCCCAGACGCTGGTGGTTTTAACTGTGATGCACTATTATTGGCCGTGTTGTGGCTGCTGTTTCTTGCTGCTGGAACATCATGGTTGTGTTTCCCCTCGTATGTAGTGATGACGGCTTTGGCGTCAGTGGAAGCTCTCTCAACATGCTTACGGACATTGCATCCCGCAAAAGTGCATTTGTAATAGCTTCTGTAAACAAGTTAGTATTAGAAAACATGCTCACAAAAGGAAAACCATTTGGAACCAAAAACATTAGTAGTAAATTCTTCACATATTGTAAATGTACGCTAAGGATGTGAAGCTTTAAGATCAGAAAGTAGTTGTTCTTAATCAATCCGAGCATAAGTAATCGTGAATTCATCCCAATCTCTAAAGATTTTTCTGAATTCAACGCTATATATCATCTAATAGTTCTTGATTTCACCTCCATCCATTAAACAATATGCAAAATTCTCGGAATACTTAATTGCCCTTTTTAAATTCTGGCCAAGAAACATGCAAGCCTATTAATTCATTAATAGTGAATATTAACATGTCAGAAACAATTTAGCAAGAACAACCTGCTTGCCTTTGCACCCTACTGTTAATTTTTTAATTTGATCATAATTAAACAAGTGTGTGTAAGAAACTAAATAAGATGTATGTTAATCATTTTCCTATGTCTTTATCCTATTACAAATAGATTAAAATTTAGAATTTTACAATTTATCATAGATAGTATTATTAGTCATAATAAATTAGTATGGAGTAATTTTATTTGATTTTTTACTATACAAAATTGATAACGAAAAGGATTGATGTGTACATTTTTGTATGTGAATACAATTTTCTTTATAAAAGTGAAGCTAAGTTCAAGGAAATTGCGGAGAATCAAGCTTTAGTGCAAAAATGGCTAGTCAATTCATAATTTTCGACTCCTTATTAAGAATAACCCATTTTATTGAAATAGGTCTGATCCATGAGTTTATGATTATTATTTCTTCTTCTACATGCTTTAAACCCGATTCATAACTTTTTCTTATAATCAACCCATATCACATACTAATTGTATTATGTTTTTGTACATTTTACCCTATATTATGCAGGTGAATTTATGTTAATTTTAGTACTTTGTTGGAAGTTATTAGAAAGATTGAAAGAAAAAAAAAGAATAGATGGAAAATTAAAAAAATTAACAGTAGGGTGCAAATTGACTAATTATGAGAGTTGAGGGGAGAAATTGGCCAAATTAAAGTTGAGGGGGGAAATTGACTAATTATGAGAGTTGAGGGGAAAATTGGCCAAAATTAAAGTTGAGGGGGGAAATTGGCCAATGGTCACAAATTCAGGAGGGGAATTGATGAATACCTCATATAATGCAATCAGTAAAACTGAAAATAAGAAGCATTTATATGGAGGAAGTTACCACCTCGGATGAGGATTCCCTTTGACCACCTTTTGCCCGTACTTGCGCCACCTATAACCATCATCTAAAAGATCAACTTCACTCCTTGTTTGCACAATGATTTTTGGTTCTGTGACCGTCTTATGTGGCAAAGCTACCTCAGATGCGCCAACGTCTATGTTTCTGCACTCACATACAAGGATACTTGAATATTAAGAAGAAAGAAATGTAAACAATATACTATGATTTTATGCAAAATGATAGGCTTGAAAATACCTTCTCTTTGCATTAGGTTCATCAGCATCTCCCTCTTCTCTACTTTCCCCATCGCCCAACTCTTCATTGTCATTTTCCCCCGGTAACTGTCCAGGAGCGGCTTGAGTAGATTCTTGATCCATCTCACGTCGTGAGTACGAAGCTACATTTTCACTTGACCTATTTGAATCTCCTATCCTTCTTTGTAATCCGTTTTCAGGCTTAGGCCCATTCAGATCACCATCTTTTGGGCGTTTACTCGGTTGAGGGACTTCATGGTTATGCTGCCCCTTGTAGATAATCTCAGTTATTTCGCCATTAGGAGAACGCTCGACTTTCTTTTTGACAGGGCAATTCATATGTGTGCATTTGTAGTAGCTTCGAGGAAATTCACTGCCTTTAACCTGCTTCTGCCCATATTTCCGCCAGTTGTAGCTATCGTCTGCAGGTCTATCAGTGGATGAAGGTTGGTATTTCTTATCAGAATGAGATGCCTCTGGGGATTGCCTTGCAGAACTTTTAGTATTAGATGTTGAGGGCAATGTCTGCTGCTGTGAAGCTTCATTGGGCATTAAGGATAGTTGACGTTCCTCTGGCTCTGTTGGGGGTGCTACTGAAGAAGGTTGATACTCAGGTTGCATGTACACACGAGATTGGGCTAGTGCAGCTTGAGCAGTAACCTGTGCCAAGGCCTGCTGGTGTGACATTCCAAATGGACTCTGCATCAATATGAAGAACAATACATGAATACCGGATACTAATTCAAGTCAGCCACTTTCAGAAATCATATTGTAGTGTGTAGAAAGACAATGGGGAACGAAACACCAACACGAACATAGTTCCATATCGTCTGTCACAAAAATGCATCAACAAATTGACATGTTTAACCAGCTTTGAGGAACTTTTAACAAATTGTACAGGATGTTAAACGAAGGTCCCTTTCGAACAAGATTGCATCATACATAACCTAATCTAACCACACTAAACAAATAAACTCGTGATTGGCGAATCGAATAATATAAATTATGCTCAACACAGAGGCACAAGAAGCACCAACATACAGCTTTTGCAAATGGCATAACAAAGTTGATGTTTTGTACAGAAATCTAACTTTCGTTGCACACAATTTTGTGAAGAAATCCATCATTTCGTGACAAAATTGGTGGAAAGAAAGCAACTTTAACCAAAACCCATCATTCTGCAATACCATATTCCAATACTCAACACAAAAGAAAGCACATTTTACTTTAACTTTGACGTAGCAGCCCAACAGTAACTAACCAAACTCTCACCAACCACCAACAAAACAGAGCAAACCCAAGAGTGACAGTAAATTTCGTACAGATTAGATAAAATTTACCTGAGGTGAATAAAAGCCAGGCGAGTTGAGCAACCCAGAGGGGCTGAGCCCCGGAGGAACAGTAAACAATGGCGGCCGAGCCACCGCCAAACTCATCGGCCTGCTCTGCTTAAACCCGGAACTACCCTCCCCGCTTTCGGAACCTCCGCCTGATTTTCTCAAACCATCAGCTGGGTTCTCGGTAAAAAAGCTCATCCCCCTGGTGGAACCCACCGGCGAGCCCATAGCTCCGGCTAGGAGCTGAGAGAAGGACCTGAAATCCGACTCAGGGTAGGTGTCGAAGAAGTTCGAGACCAGAGTCATCGGGCCCGGGCTCGCCCCAGATCCGCCGCTGAAAAAGGCCTCTGCGGACGGCCGCGGGGGGAGTGTTATCACCGGTCTTTGCGTCGGCAGCAGCGGCGGTGCTGAAACTGTGACTCTGTCAGAGTCTTGGGTTTTGGCGGCCATTGATAAGTATATCAAGCAATCAAGCAAGCAGCTTTTTCCTCTGTTTTCCTCTCTCAAAAATCCTCTGTTTTTCTCTCTCTAAAACTCTCTGTTTTCCTGTGTTGTTTTTGCTGCAGGTGGTGGTGTTTGCTTGGTTTTGTGCTCTCTGCTCTCAGAAGAAATCGATTGGGTTTTTTGGTGGTTTCGTGCTGTCCCGAACTTCAAGTGGAAAGTCCACGGAGCAGAAAATGGACAATGACAATTATTATTGGTTTTTATATTTAATTTTTAACTCTGTTTAATTAGTTTAATTAAAGGAAAACTAATGAAAAGGGTTTGAAAACTTTGAGTTTTAATGATAAGAACAAAATAAAGGGTAAAGTGAATAGTACCAGAATTGACTTTTTAGTGTAAAAAATGTGGTTTTTCGTTAAAGTAAACAGTACCGGATGCTTTTTGTTAAAGCTCCCTTTAATTAATTAATTTTTATATATTTTCTGGAGATTTTATGGTTTAGTTATGTCCAAATGGCAAATATGCTCCAAGGTGAAAATTTGAGACCGATGGAAGTTTGGGACTTCAATCTTTTGTTGCCCTACGAGACCGGCAACTAGGGTCAAGACAACTTAGACAACCCACAACACAACGAAAACATTAGGGGTCGTCTAAGGTTGTTTTCAAAATGATTGGCATCTAAGGGCTCATTTAAAGTTGCAATGGAACATCTTTATCATCGATAGTTTTGAAGTTAAATCTTTTACTACAGTGTATTATGTTTGGAGGGAGTGGAACAACCATAGATTCAAGAACTCATGTCAACCCGTTATGTGGTTCTCAACTCAATTAAGTTCACCATTAGACTTCCATTGAATTCTTTGAAAATCACTCATTTCGCTGCTAATTACTCTACTTTACGGGAATGGAATATAACTATGAATAGTTAGTGCTTATTTTTGCTGCTTTGATGCAGCGTTGTTAGCTTTGCTATCTATTTTTCTTATAGCTGCATCTCTTTGTTGCGTATTTGTATTTTCATCTACTCTTTGCTGCTTGTATTCTTTTTTTCTCATCAATATATTTTATTTATAACAAAATGACTAAAATTTGTTTTTTGAATTAATTTTTAGTAAAAATGTAAGTAAATTCTGGAAAGTACTTAAATTGTTTTTGGAAGCCAAAAATATTTTTTTTATAAGCGCTTTCAGTCATTTTAAAAACACTCCCGACTAAAACACTTCTAAAACTTCGCTCTATTGCAAAATACTTGTAATTCAATTGATTAAAAATATTTACCTTTGTATATGAGTTATGACTAAAGTAAAAAAAAAAAACTCCATTTTACAGCTTCTAACTATTATTAAGGGAAAATTTACATGTACCAAAATGAAACCTTAAAATACCGATATAATGATATACACTCACGAGAAATTTTTAGTATGCCCGAAACAAAAAATGCTAGACTATATGTAATTCTACAAGTATAACACAAATGTGAAAATACATTGCATGTAATACAAAGCTTTGTGAAAATGCGGCAACAGAGGGACCCACGACAGATAAAGCCCACTCTGATTAGGTTATCATCATCAATTGTGATGGACCCAGTGCTTCTGATTAAATATCAAATGAAGGGAAGATATTAGGAACCGGATTCCCTCCGGATTCCAAACAACTGAGCACCCTGAGCAATAAATCAGATACGTTGAAATTTGATCTAACGGTTACAATTATTATAACTTTAGAGGAGCCTCTTATTTGTAGCCGCTGGATTAAATTTCAACGATCCAGTATCATTGCTCTCAGTTTTTGGGGATCCGGTTCCAAGATATCCCCAACTTTTAATTGGAGGCAGATTCTCTACCCTCCCACTTCCTGTGTCTTCCCGCGCCCTCCTGTTTTATGTGATCACGGTTAAACCATGTCAACATTTTATATATATATTTTTAGAGATCATAAGGCAAAAAAAAAAAATAATATAAAATATTGACGTGGCTTAACTATGACCACATAAAAAGAAGAGCACGGGAAGACACAGAAAGTGGGAGGGCAAAGAATCTGCCTCCCTTTTAATTTTAGGAAAACAAATGAAAATGGCTTGAAAACTTTGAGTTTTAATGATAAGGACAAAATAAAGGGTCAGTGAATAGTACCAGAATTGACTTTTTAGTGTAAAAATAAGATTTTTCGTTAAAGTGAACAGTACCGGGTGCTTTTCATTAAAGTTCCTTTAATTTTCTTACATTGTCCTTTTGAATTTAATTATTCTTTTTCCCAACCAAAAAATTAATTTATTATTCCTATATTTTAAATTTTATATTTATCATTTATCACCTTCTTTATTTTTCTTTTATTTTGTATGAGGCCATGATCCTTTTATATTATCAGCCAACGCAAGCAACCGCCATTGAGCTCTGACTTTTTGACATCTAAATTTAAAACATTAAAAAGAAAAAAAGTAAAAATGTTACACGCGACGCTCTCAGTTTTTAATTATATATATATACATTTTCATGAATAATTGTCAAAAATTAATTTCGTCGCTACAACTAAATTTCCCCGGTAAACTACCCCAGAGCTCCCGGCGAAGTGTCGAAACGTGGCAAAAGAACATTCTAGCAGTCGCATTGAAGAAAATTCGAAAATCGACATTAATATTTGTTAACAATTTTGATCAAAAAATAATAATATTGTGTTAGCTGTAAAACTAGGCGTGGATAGTTAAATTTGTTGACGTACGCAAGGTTTGCACATGTTTTGAAATTTGAGAAAAAGGTCAATTTATAAACAGCTGGATTCGCTTGCTTCGTACGCTTTACAAATCCACACCACGAGTATCGTGTATGGAAAATTAGTTCTCATTGGAAGGATTGTGTGTAATTTATCAACTTTTAGGATATTTGGCCAGTTAGGTTAGTTGGAGCGGAAATGTGTCATCTTATACATATTTTTCGTAGTTTGAATGAGTTAAAAGTAGAATATCGTTTGATACAGTGAAAAATAAAACAACATTCCATCTTGGATTTAGTCATTGTTTTAGTTATTTGGTCAATTTAGTCCCCGTGTTTTCAACTTTGCCAATTTGGTCCTTGTGTTTATCTCTGTGAGCCAATACGACATTTCCATCTAATATTTGCAAAAAAATTATTTATTTGATCTAAAATATTTAAAAAGGAAATCAAATTAAAAATAAAACAAAAATTACTCTCCTCCCTAACGTTACTTCCCTCTGTTTTCTATGTCATAACCTTATTAATCTTTCAAATTGGAAGTTTTTTCTCTTATATGTGTTATTTTTTATTGATTTGCATTTTTCTGTAAAAATAAAGGGTGATTATATCTCTTATAATTTTTCTTATGAATTTTTTAACAAAGATTGAATGAAATGTCTTTAATTGGCTAACAGAGATAAACACAATGACTAAATTGGCCAAATTGAAAACACAAAGACTAAATTGACCATATGGCTATAACACATGGACCATTTTGACATTTAAGCCTTTTCACATACCTCCGATGCCATGCTAGTAGTATTACCGTAATCCTCTTTGACCTTCTACCCTCCTCAACTTAATTCCATTTCTTGATTTTTCTTTGATCTATTAAATTCAGAAGCTAAGAAAATGGAGTGTAAGAGGTAAAAAGAAGAGTTATGAAACTAGAAACTTGAACTTAGGTGCAAAGAGACAGACGACTCAAATCAGCATGACAGTGCATAGTTGAGTGTTGAGTGAAAATCCATTTCATGTATGACGTGTGTGTGACTTGAATAAGAGGTAACCCAGAAAGTTTAAAGTCTGCCAACTGTAGAATCCCCATACCAATAATAGAAGCAGAAAGGTGGGACTTGGAGTAGTTGCATTAAACTTTGGTGGGGATCTTGGATTTTCATATTTTGGTAGTTGGGGGCAGCAACAGCAAAAGGGACATTATCATATCTCAAATTTTCAACCAAGTTGTGCTCCTCAAATTAAGATCTTCTATGGATTTTTGTGTCCGGAGTTAGATGATTCGAAAACCTAAACCACTCATTTTAAATTTTACGGCTTCTATCCACACATACAAAACGAAAGGTCCGAATTTTTCTCTTAAGCGATCCGAATCTTCGTATGTGTTGTCTCTAGACACAGATCCGGAGTAATTCGTGATCCGCATGTTATTATATCATATGAGCGTATGGATTACAACATGGTCCCATCACAAGCTGCAAATTGTCAACTTGTATTTAATTTTTGTGCATAAATGTTTATTTCTGGTTGCACAAAATCAAATTTGTTTAGCCACAAATTTCAATTTTCTTTCCCTTTTTAACAAAAATATATAACGACGTGAATAGTACTTGACTCCTCTCAATAGCAGGAGTTCCTCCTCGGAAATGGGAGTTCCTGCTTTCCATCTAACGATTGTTTGACAAAATGGGATTCTCTCTCCTCCTTTTTCCATTCCATTCAATTTCCTCCGCTCATATTCTCTATTTTATCTTTTTTTTTCTATAAAAAATTAATATAAAATGTTGATGTGACTTAACCATGATCATTTAAATAGAAGGGGAGAGAAAAAAAGAGGAAAGATAATTCCACTCCTAGTTTGACACACAGATAGAGATTTTCATTTTTGTGATTTTGACGGGATGTTTATGTATATATGTTAAGCTTTGATTTACACAAAGGGGAAACGACTCTTTGCATGAAAGGAGCTTAGCAGTGTCACGACAATATAAGCTACTGTAATTTTCTAATAGGAATTGATATCTTGAGAAAGATTCATAAGAGGAGCAGAAAATTTCACCTTTCTTCTAAAAAATTTACCTTTTAATGGCAAAATACGTACAAAAACAATATACACTTCTCTTACAACAATGGACGCTATGGACCTTACACTTCCTAGTCTCAACTCTTCAACTAGTTCCAAGGCTTCAAGCAAATACAAATTGGCTCATCAAATGGGGTTCTACAGAACGGTGCAAAACCGTGGATGGAAGATACATTTGCCCTTTCAAAAAGCATGTCTCTACAATGGAGATGGAGATATCACATTCTTGTCTCGTAGAAGTAAGTTGTGGAGACGGCCTGACCTTCAACATCGTATGTACGAACCAGTCTCTGTCTCTTGGCAGGACCCTCGAGCCAACAGAACTCCAAATGGAACGATAATGATTCTGCAACATTGTTTCCTACATCGCATGGGCATCCCATGTACATGCCTCCGGGCAATAGAGTCATCTGGTAACCTCCGTTGAAAGTAATCAAGTTGTCCAACTTGATTCCCGTCCAAGGCACATTAGTGGTAACATCACCCGCAGCGGAGGTGGAAGTGATGCCCTGACATAATTTATGAATGATGGGAAATGAAATGTAAGAAAAGACCGATACTTAGCAAAATATAAACCAAAAATAATAGGTATCATTACGTTTTTTGAGTAATGAGTTCTTTGATTATTTGCAATTTTATCAATGAAGCATTTTGATTTTACGTTCCACGTTCTTTCAAGAGGGATTTTATTGGAGTGGAAGATACCTGAATAACTTGGCCCTTATCATCCATCTCAAGTGTTGCTACGGTATCAGCTTCAGCCGTTGTTGATCCATAAACACCGCTTCGTTTTGTTACTGAGTGACCTTTCCACGTACCAAGAAATGGCACAATCCTGTCTGTGTTTTCCTGATACCATTCAAGGAAACTTAATTTTATATATCACAGCCAAAAACAAAAACGTAACTATAAAAACCCAAATTTCAGTGCTACTAGCTTTCTTTGTGAAACTTACCACATTATTGTCGAGGGCAGGAGGAAGAACTGCCCCATCTCCTCTTTCCTCCAGGAAGATGACAATCATTTCGATAATGCCTTTTGGGTCCATGATGTGGAAAGCTCTTATTCGCATATCTTTGTCTAGTGAATGCAGACAACTTTCGCATACAATTGCAGGACGACGGGAAGGAAGCTTTAGATTTCTACACAATGAACAAAAATTGAAGAAGACAAATAGACATAGAGTTAGTAAAACAATTTCAGTTAGAAATTCGACGGAGATCAACATATAATCATGAAAGAAAAGAAACAATGTTGACCAAATGCACCTTAACTCGACAAACCAATGGACGAGGAACATGTTTTTACACAAATTACTATAGTCTCATTGTTTATAGTTTCATCAGGGAATCATAAAGAACATCATTTGAGGGAGGAACCACTCACTTTGGTGATTCTTCACCAGTGTCATCATCCCCAAGAACCCCTTGTCTTAACACAGTTTCTAACATCCCAGCAGTCTGGTACCTTAGCGAAAAAGCTTTCTCATCGGGGAAGAAGCCAATCTGTAGACTAATCACAATGGATGTTCAACAGAAAACAAGTCATCGTAAAAACTAATCTCTCAGCTATATCTTCACAGGCAGTAACCGATTAGCGATCCTATCCCCAAACACTCGGAAAACCTCACCTGTTGATACTTGTCCACAGTAAACATGTTGGTTTCTTTAATTTTGTATTCTGCCCACTCCACCTCATCATCTAATTCAGAAAACGACGTGCTTGATGGAGCCTGCATAATATATAATCTGCAAAGCAAGATATCATCAAATCATCAGAACAAACTAATAATGCTCACTGACATTCAATACACAGTTTGAATTTTGTCCAATCTTAAACTTTTCGCTATCCGAAGCTTACGTTTGAATGAGACTGATGAGTTCACCTTCCCCATAAGAGCTAGCTGCAAGCTTCGTATTCACTTTATGCAACAGATTCCCAACAGTATCAAATTGCTACAAAACCACTCAAACTAATAAATAATCAGAACTAATCAATCATGAGGACCCATCTGACTCCTCTTAAATGAACATAATTTATCTGTTTGGCTGCCCAGAAAATGCAGGAACAAAAATTCAATCTTTCACTAACGAATCCCAGAAACCAAATTAAGGACCAACCAACCCAACAAAATTACATGCATTTTGCTCAGAAGTTTTAAAAGTATTGCAGCCTTGACAAACAAAATATAAAACAAAAGACCATTTTGATTTCCCATCTTTTGCCTCGTGTTCTCAGCAACCAAACACGTGACAAATTTTGGAGAACAAACCAGATACTTACAAAGAAGGAACCTTGCCAATTGCCCACGTTGAGCTTAACAAAGCGGCGAAGATTGTCGATGCTCATGGCTTCCTCGCTGGGCTTTCGAGCTTCGTCTTGAACTGAGGTGGAGGACGACGAGTTGGAAGCTCGGATTAAGGGGCTCCGGATTGTAGAAATGGGGCGAGAAAAGGGGTTTGGGGTGTGAAGGTTGGTGGGTAGGAGTTGGACTTTGTTGAGGCTCCGTGGGTTGGGAATGGGAGGGAGTGAAAGTGAGTAGCAGAAAGTGGAAGCCATGAAAGCAAAGGTAGGAGGATTCTGAGGAAGAAGAGCTCAGCAGAGTACAAATGGCTATTCTGTTTTATCATCTTATCTCAAAATTGGGCTTTTACGGTATTGAAAGAGTCCAACCTCAAAAGCCCATTTTTTTACAACAATAAAAAAGCCTTCAAAGGCCCATGTTTTTTTTTTTTTTTTTTGTTAAAATCATTTGGGTAAAGCTTCTGTAACGGGTTGACATGATAATAACAAGTTACTTAAACAGTCAGATCAATTTTCATTTGCCAAACACAACAAAGACATGACATGACATGAGAAGTGAATTTGCGAATAAGTTTGAGCCGATGTATTTCAGTACAAAAAGTTAACGAATCAAGCTTGAGTTGAGTATCATGTTAAGTTTACATTTATAAAGCATAGTTTGCTCAGTTTCCTTACAACACATAACTCAACAGTCTAAACAAGATACTAATCTACTAGAACAAACATTGATTTTATGGGGGTAAAATTTGAGGGGAAAAAGTGGACGAACTTGAATCAACAAACAAACAAACGAACAAAAACGCGGACCAGACCTAGCTAAATAGCGGCCGAACGTCTTGAACTTAGATCTCATCAATCTTAGGGCTGGTTTGGTATTGTTGTGCTTTGAAAGAAAACTGTTTTTACTGTGTTGTGAGAATAAGTAGTTGTGAAATAAATCAGCATAGTGTTTGGTAAACTTTTTTGTAAAAGTGCTTTTGAAAAAAAAAAGCAGTATTATAGTGTTTGATAAACTTTTATGTAAAACAAATGTGAAAAAAAAAGCTGGGTTTTGCAGCTTTGTGTTTTTGATTTTTTTTCACCCAAAACTGTCAGAAAAAGCTGAAGCTGACTGTTTACCAAACATAAAAAAAGCTTTTATGGCCACTTTTTTCAGAATCACCTCAGTACCAAACCAGAACTTATTCTCTTGCGGGAGCCTGCCTTGATTGATGTCCTAGGCTCGTAGCCAGCGACGGAAAATACTAATTAAAGAGAAAGGGAGTTGACCTCATCTTGTTTCCAAAGCCCTTCCTCATATTTATACCACTTGATAATCCCCAGCAGATCGACCCTAATCCTTTGGCACATGATGCAATGATCTAATTGCATGCAGGTTGTAAATCTTTGCAGCCGAGCAGACATGTTAAGAATAACCGGATCAAGTTTGTCAAGAATTTCATCGTAGTAAGAAGGTGGAGATATTTCAATTACAAGGCAATGTGATATATTGAGAACCTGCAGGTGGCGTAAGCCATCCAATAGAATGAGTAAAGCCTCCTTCCTCATCTTCGTGCACCGGAGGCTTAAGACGTTGAGACGTGAAGAGATGAAACTAGGGTTGAAGCGAATAGTCTAGTACACTCACCCTGAATGATCTTCAGTTCCCTAAACTCTTGCAGTTAACAGAAATCTCCTCCATGAGGTGTGGAGGATCTTCTAGGGAAGGAATCGTCAGCGATTCAAGGTCTTTTCAGCAGCCGAGGGACTTGCACATATATATAGATCGGTTTGGGATTGGTACCAAAATTTTCGAGATTTTCGGTTTGAGATTTTTTCGGTTTGGGATCGGAATTTTTTGGTGTGGTTCGGGATTTTTAGGATTTTTTTTTCCATCCCTAATACCCAATGACTCTGTGTCAAATCAGACTTGCTTGTAACATAAACATAGGGTTTATATTGGCTTGGTATGAAATCTATTTTCATCCTTAACAAATCAAGCGTAGTAAAAATTCGAGAGGAGCAGTCAAGAATAACCGAACGCCATGCGCTACAAACGGCACTGCAACGAACATAAGCAATGGCTGAAGTTAAATCTGAGATTCTGCTGAGACACTTAAAAATCTCACTCAATATGTCAGGTTTCATGTCTCCTCATCTTCGAAAATCAACATCTTCCATTGCTGTTTCTCTTTTTCTTTTTTCTGGTCACCATCTCCATTGTGATTTAGTTGTTTCTTATGTTTAAGCAATAAGAGAGGTTTCAGGAGGTTGATATCTTCTAATTGTGTACGGACTAAATAAAAAACCCTAGTTCCGCAAGGACTAGGAAGGAAGTTATTACTTGGATTCCCTATCCTAGTGTAACTAATTAAGGATTCCTTCTTACACAAGAATAGTTTTCTTACTTTCTTAGGAATCATATACATTGGAACCTAAGTCTTAATATATATTTTATGAACATTATAATATTTTTTAGAAAACTAGATTTTAATCGTCAAATAAGATGAAATTTAGAAAAAAATGTCGCATACAATGTAATCTAGGGGATAAAATTAATTTTTAATTTTGTAAAAATTGATTTTAGCCCCTAAAATCTATTTGATGTCAGAAATGCATTAAATTTCTTATTTTATTTTATGATTTTATGGTGTCCATGAATTAAATTTTATGAAAAATATTGTAAAACTTAATACTCATTTGAAATTCAAATGAATTAGCTTTTATTGGTTGATAGTTTGAATCACCAATTTATGGTGAGTGTCTTATGTTTGTACCAAACTTCACCAATCCTGAAACTACAAAGCACCGATCAACTTCATACTTTCGAGGACCCACTGAAAGAGTCGTGTTGATGCATTCATGTCGAAGCACAAGATTTTCTCTCCAACCAGGAAGCCAATCACAAACATGACACGTGACAACATCAGAATAAAACTCCTAGAGTCCCATATCGACAGCGAACAAAAGCTAGAAACTCTCATCAACTATTAAGGAGACCATTCTCCTACAAGTAAGGCCTAATGTCATTATTGTGCTTAAACTTGTCATTAGAGCCCACTAATGACAATTATGCTTGAACCTATGTATTGTGTAAACTCTTTACTATTAATGAGAACTCATCTACCCCGTGAACATAGCTAAATTTAGAGTGAACCATCACTAAGTGACCGGAGCAATCTAGCGAAGATCACAAACTTGGCATTTTACGTTGTTCCAAAGTCCATCCGATTTTATGCATTAGTATCTTATATAAGAAATATTTTGGTACGGACTTTTCGAGTAGACTTGTATTTTTGCGTATTTGCTTATGTGCCACTAATTCATTACATTATTTTTAGGTACGAACATTTCGGTACAATATGTTTAGGTACGGACTTTTCGGCACACTTATGTTTTTGCTTATTTTTTTTATGTGTTGCTAATTCATTCCAATATTTTTTTTTTTGCCAAATCATTCCAATATATTTTGGTATATACATTTCGGTATACTAGTTTAGTAAATATATTAGGGTATTGAAGTTTAGGTACACTAATTTAAGCAAATAGAAAATGCTGAGATGATTATTAGTCAAAAGCATGGTCTGAAATGCCGATATTATTGGTGATATTTCGCCGATAATATCGATTTTGTGAGAGAACGATATTTTCACACTTATCCACTGAATTTTCGTCAAAACATCGCGATATTTTAGGCTGGTGCGAATCGGAGAAGAACATCAGAGTTTCTACAGCTCCGGTCGACTATAAAAGAGCACCCTAGACTCCGATCTAAGTATCAAAATGAAATACAAGACGAGAGGAATGTTTTTATAACTTCCGTTTGTCGTGAAACGGTCGGAGGTGTTCGGAAAGTTCCTCGACACTCACGGCCTTACCGGAGCTGCGTGTGCCTTCCCTCGGGTCGATCTCGTTCTAAAACCTTGTTAAAAAAACGAGATAAAACTTAGTATATCTCAACCACACAACATCCAAGATGAATTGAGGTAATCCGGGGCTTACTTAACTGGAGAAGGATCAAGAGAACTTGCCGGAGAGTTCATGGGTTCCACTGTCCTAGCTGCACCGAGAGAAAGAGAGAGAAAGACGAGATTTATATGGTGATGATGATGTCGTTGACGGAGTACTACGAAGGGCGTAGAGGGCGCCGATGGGGATGACCGACTTGAGGTAGAGGTCATGAAAGATGAAGACAACGCCGACGAGGCGCAAGACGCGGACGAGGAGGAAAGCGAGGGAGGAGCAAAAGGCCATGTGGGAGAAGGATCAAGAGACTGAGGTCTCTATACGTGTATGTAGGAGAAGGGAGAAGAGAGAATGATCAAGAGATCTGTGTGTGTGTGTGTGGGAGAAGGGAGAAGGGAGAAGGGAGAAAGGAGAAGGGAGAAGGGAGAATGGAGAAGAGAGAATGATCCAGAGACTGAGGTCTCTGTGTGCGTGTGTGGTGGCGTGTGAAAAAAAAATATCCAAATAATTCAACTTTTACAACTTGTACAATTTTTGACAAGACAACAATAATGGCATGTGTGTCTGTATCTGACAACTTTTACAACTTGTACAATTTTTGACAAGACACAATACACTTTTGGACAACGTCAAAAGATTTTGCTTATAAACAACGTCAACCAATCTCGAATCCATATAGGTAGCATGTTAACAATTACATGCAAAACTATTTTGGGGATTTATCATTTGATGACTACTTTTCATAATACACTTACTCTACACATAGAGATGATGAAGATAGTGAAAATTTTGAACCTCATAGGAACTCTATGTGGTACTAAGTCACTCATGTATCTTACCATATAATGTATAAAGTGTAAAATATTGTACTAATTCATTATATATAAATGATTATGGTGTGTTTAAACTTCTTTCATTAATTACTACATATTTTATACACTCACAATGTTTGCCAACTCGCTATATAATCAACTTAAATAAGTTAAATCCATCATGCAATGCATTTCCTACCAATTTTTTTGTGATAAACTAATAGATAATTGACTAAATAAACATCCTGCAAAGTTTCAATAAATTTTTTTAAGTTTTTCTTACAATTTCCGTGATTTTTATTTAATTTTTATCGATATCGATAATATCCCGATATTTCCATCGAAATTTCCGTGTTTTTTGACTACTGATATTTCCGATATCATCGATATTTTATACTTTGGTCAAAAGAACCTTAATTACATTTTTAAAAGGCACAAAAATTTAATCTAAAAAATGTAGAAAGAAAGTTGGGATTCTAATTGTACCTTTTCTTTTTCTTATAGCCTTTCCTCACAAGATCAATTACACTTCGTCAATTTACAGTTTGTTTGGGCCTTACAACAAGAAGTATAACAACATTGACCGCGAGTAAACCAACATTCACAAGTTTGTTACACCCCGAGTCTCTCCTCTAATTCATTACAAGGCTACACACACCTCCACGCCCCAATGCCGAGCAACAGCCCTAATCTTCAACCCTTCGGTTCAATCAACAGTTACCGGAATACTGACAACGAAATCCGTTCCCAGTTCATTTATCATCTGCCCCAAATCCTTGAGTTTTCTCACTTCGATGGTGGGCCGAGGATTTCCGTGCTCATTTCGGGGGTAGGCGATGAAGTCCTGCCTCCTGGACGCCAGATTATGCTGACCCAAATCCTGGACAATTGCAAGATAATCAGCCTGAGGTACGGAGCTGTGGATTAGGAAGCAGTATTGGGAATCGAAATCTCTTCTCGCAACCTCCAGAAGCTGCCGCATTTGTGCTGCCCTAGTCACCCTTAGAACAAGTCCCCCCTAAGGACTTTGCGCCAGCAACCAGCGCATTTATCCACTCAAGTGAACAGTAATAGACTGGAGTGAACAGTAATAGGCCAAGGCATCTACACCCCTAAAAAAATGCGCTAGCACCCAGCGCATTTATTTGGTGTGTTTTTTTTTTTTAAGTTTATTTCGAATAAGATTTTTAACCAATTTCGGATAAAATTTCAAATAAACTTAAAAAAAATACACACTAAAATAAAATTACATACTCATCAAATAAACTTAAAAAAAACACACTAAAATAAAATTACATAAACTCATCAAATAAATTAAGGATGAGCTTTTTGGTATATTTTTTTCACACAAAAAGTATATGAAAGCTTTGGTAGAAGGTGTAGAAAATATTGAAATGTGGTGTAAGGTGGAAGATGAGGGTTAGGTATTTATTAAAATATTATTAATTTTTATTATAAAATAATAATTTTTATGAAAGTACTCTCTAGACTCCATTCTTCTTTTTCTTCCCTGATTTTCCAACTGTGTTGTCAAGCACAGTTTCACCACTTTTTCTTCCCTTCTTCTTTTTCTTCTCTTCAAACCGCCAAAACCCATGTGAGATTAGCCAAGTTCGGGCCTACCCCATGAGCCGCAACCACCAAACGAACCCAACGACCCGCAATCCCACCCAACCCTCCTCCCCGATCCCCTCACCCACTGGTGCGCCAACCAAAACTGTAAACCCTTTGCCGTCGATCCTCTCGATCCCTGGAGCTCCTCCGATTGCAACTGGTTCTCCAACGCCGCCTCCGATTCAGACCATGACGTCAGCTGCTTCGTCACCGATCTATTCAATCGCTGCAGCTCTGAGCAATAGCCCAAGACCGAGAGGGAGGGCTTTGGATATGGAAGCTTGAGTTGGGGTGGTGGTGCAAGGAAAGCAGAGAGCTTCGAATTCAGCTCAAGGAGGGGTGGCGGTATCGCCTGGCATCATGTAGGCAGGGCAAAGGCTCAGCACATTCTGAGCCGGCCTAGAGATCAGCTTGGACTGGGTGCCAGCCTATCTGCTCGGCTGGAGTGGATTGGCTGGGTGCCGGGCCAATAATTGGCTGGGTGCTGGCCTAAAGGTTCCCCGGTGGAACTGCTCTTATAGTAAACAAATAATCATCCATCACGCTGCCTAAAAAGAAAGAAAATCTCATGGTCAGCAAAGGCGGAGCCATAATTTTTTTTTTTTTGATGGGCTAGTTGAAAATAGTACCATAAAATCATATAATTTTTTTTTGCTTATATAAACATATAATAATCAATATAAAAGAACAACAATATAATAATGGGAACTTTAACGAAAAGCTCCCGGTACTGTTCACTTTAACGAAAAACCACATTTTTACACTAAAAAGTCAATCCTGGTACTATTCACTTTACCCTTTATTTTGTCCTTATCATTAAAACTCAAAGTTTTCAAGCCCTTTTCATTAGTTTTCCTTATAATATAAACTATTCTCAAAATTATAACCCTAACCGATAAATTCAAGGACCATATAAATAATTAACCTACTAATTAAATCAAGAATAAGTAAATAAAGAATTAAGAACGTACCAAAGGTGACATTCATTGAAAAATTGGAACGGAAAGTTATGAATTGTGGAGATAGGGATTTAATTGTGTATTTAAAGAACTTATTAATCTTTTCTTGAGTAAAAAGCGCATAGGCTAAATTATATAAGGTAAATGGTCTTTTTTATAAAGAATAGGATAAAGGGGACTAACTAATTCATAGTTTTTAGCATAAAACTATTATTTACTACCTCTCCTCTACTAAATATACATTAAATAATAATATGTATTGAAATTGAGTAGACTATAAGCATGAGTTTACAAAAGAATAGTTCTATTTACAAACTCATATTTACTTCCAACATTGCCCTATTAATATTTTGTCAGTGATCATTTTCAATTCATTCGATCTGAACAACCGACAATTAAGAGAAGTGTGTAAGAAGTAAAAATGAGTACATAGATAACACTACCTTTATAGAAAGGAGGTGGCTTGTCTGTCCTCCCATTTCCTACTCTTCCCATCTCATTCTGTTTGTGTGATCACGGTTAAGCCACGTCAACATTTTATATTGATTTTTTTTATAAAAATAATAAAACAAAAAGTAATAGGAATATAAAATATTGATGTGGCTTAACAGGGATCACACAAAACTAGATGAGAAAAGTATGGAAATGGGAGAGCAGACAATCCACTTCCATTCCTATCCCCTCATGTTTTATATAACCACATTTAAACCACGTCAACCTTTTATATTTATATTATTTTATATTTTATTATTTTTATAAAAAAATCAGTAGATGTAAAGAGTATGGAAATGGGAAAGGTAACAATCCACCTCCTTACTTAATCGCCATATTTCGTTTGCTTTTCGCATATCTGAGACTAGCGTTTTTAATCTTCCGTTTGTTTCCGTATGAGACTTTGTTTTCTGTGGTTGCATCGCTTCGTCGTCTCTCTTTTTTTTTTCAAATTATTAAGCATGTTGCTTTGTTGTTCACAAATTAGCCGTCAAAGTTGTTTGCTTGAAAACAAATTAAGGGTTAGAAGTTTCTACCGGTTTTTAATTCGGTCGGAACTTCTTCTGGGCTGATCTAATCTAACGTTTCCCGGTGAGTTTTGCGTGTTTGTTAGCGCACCTGTTTTTATTTTTTATTTTGGTGGTTTTCGATTTACAGATGAATGTTGCATTTATATTTTGCTTTTGTAATTTTGGGGGTTATGTTTTTTAATTTTGCCTTTGTAATTTTGTGGATTTTCTGTGTGCGCTTGGATGCTGCGTGTGAGTATCTGATGTGATTCGATTTTCAGTTTCAGGGAACGGTGCTTTTGGAAATTTGGGGCTTTCGTCTCCAACCTTGGAACCCCTTCGTGTTGAAGGTATATAATATACGCGTTTCCTTTTGGGTTTTTTACTGAACAATTTTTTTTTTCTCTCTTTTATTTGCAGGTGTGTTATTTGTTTAAATTTTGTTTTCGAATTTAGGGAGTTTTGTTTATCTGTTTACCGTATCCTTTTCAATTTTTTCATGTTTTGTTGATCATAATTTCCAGTGTTGCATTGCATTCCAATGTAGAATGTTGAGCCTTTATGTAAAAGAAGACTAATAAGTATTATGACATAAGTAATGTGAATATTTTTCATTTTGTTTCTCTCTCATGAGGAATTCCAATGCAAGGGCTTGCATCTGTAGTTACTGAAATTAGTAACTACAGTGGACATGGGCGGGATCAGATAGATAACCTTAGGTCCCATGGTGACTTTAACAGCATCCGCAAGCTCTTCGACACCATTGAGCATGAGGGCTTGGGCTTGCACCACCAATTTAATGTCTTTGCCTGCATAGTTTCTGCTCTAACATAGCCTACCACCAATCTGAAACACAAACCAAACCCACAAAACACATCACATAGAGTTCTTTGAAGGGAGAAAGCTTTGCATTTCTTTAATCAATAGACCCTTTTAAGCAAGCAACCAAACACACCTGCTTGGTACGGTTCCTGTCAATCCTACAAACACAAAAAAAAATCAATAAGCCTACATAAGTAAGTGGATAAAAAATTAGCACATAGCACCTTTCTACAAACATCTGTTCCAGATAGATCATATTGAATTCACGGTTGAGTCCTTTCGCCCTCTCTAGAATTTGTTTGCGATTCTCCATTATTAACACCCTTTTTCTTGCTAGAAATCAATCCTGCGACTTTGTTTGTGCCCTTTTTGAATTTGATTGGAATCTGTTTTTAACCTACATAACCTGACGTTTTTTGTTGAGTTTTCTGGCTTTTTTAGTATACCTGATTAAATTTTTTTTTTTTGGTGATTTGCGTGTAGCTGTATGATCTGGTTTGATTTTTTGCTTTCAGGAAACGTTGGTCTTCGAATATTGGGGTTTTTGTGTGCAAGCTTGCAAGGATGCAAGCCCTTTGTGATCAAGTATGTATTTTTTCTTTGATTAAATGTTTTTATTTTCAGTTTTATAAGCATTCATCTTTTACTAATTGTCTAACAGCTTCCATGGGATCCTGCCCTATGTTGTTACTTCGCGGTTACCTCCATTGGGTTAAAAAAACCACAGACGCAATGTAAGTCTGAAAACTAATCAAAAGGTTGTAGAAATTTTTTTTATTTTTTATTTTTTATTTTTTTTATCAGTAAGGTTTTTAAAAATTCGGATCATGTTTGCATTTTATCCAATCTCATGTTCTAGCAATGCTTATAAAGATGACCTTTAGTTTATCAAAGGACTCTGGAATGGTAGAAAACACAAAGGGTCTGCAAGAATTGAGTTTTATTTGTTTTGTTTCATTGAATATAGATAGGAATTCAAAGAATGATAAAAATTCTTACATTTTGTTCCAGAAGTTGCAATTTCAATCCTACTCCTAGATCGACTAATTTCTCAGACGGCCACTGACTAGAGCTTGACATTCAGATTCAATGGCTAGATTGGCAACAAATTTATTGGGAAATGCATCTTCAAAGGTATGCCTCTGGAGCAAAGTTAAAGGTAAGAGATTATTTTGTTAGCTTTGATAAAATTATTTGTCAGCCATTTTAGTTTTTAGCAATTATGAGATTATTTCTTATTGAATATTAGTTGGCTTAAACTTTCTTACGTCTTAACTATCAATGTACAAACGTAACAATCATTTACATAAAATTCACAAATTGTAGTGTCAATTTGAAGTTAACGTAATGATCTTTGAAAATGTCAAAACTCACATTGACATAAACCTTTTGCATATTTGTAAAATCTCTTGAGATCACCTTCCAACTTAAAATTAAACTTATATTTAGCAAATTTTATGTATCAGTACTAAAATTTTCAATACGAAACGAAACTGCATGACTTATATATTGAAGACACTGAAGTTGGGGTAAGTCATCATATCACTCTCAAAAATTTTTATTACTTTAGTGATTGCAAATTTGGTTCACACTGGAAACTATTAATATTCAATGGTTTTTTAAATTATCGACCCAACCAAAGTGGGTTCCTGTATTATGTATTTGACAAATAGAATTGTAATCTTATGTATATAATTAACTAATAATATGATTTTTTTTTATTGTTCTGGTGGTATTATGTAGTTGTTGTGATTAGAGAGCTATTTTGCTCCTTATTTTGTACCTTAATGTCCAACTTTTTACATGTTTTACACTATTAGAACCCGCAGCAACGCGCGGGCATTATGACTAGTTCCATCTAAAATCGCCTGCAACTCGACTTGAAGAGGGGAAGCAGCAAAGAAATGCCTTGCTAGACCTAGACCTAGACCATCAACCAACCTCCCTCTGTGGTCTCTAATGACAACTCCATACCCTGCCTCCTCGGAGGCTTTATCCCATGCACCATCACAATTTACTTTGAGAAAACCAGCTGGGGTAGGAGACCATGCCGAATGGGGAGAAAGTGGGATGTGGGAGAAATCACCAAGCAATAGTAAACACGCAGATGAAAACAAGGAATTGCGACAAGGGTGACCGTGAGTTTCTGAGTTACCACGCATATGGGCACAAGGTGTCTACGTTATGCAGAGAAAAAATGGAGAGCAAGACTCATAAAACACAGCAAGATTAAAGATTAAGAAACAAATGCTTGTTATTGCGTTATGCCATTTCTAGCTCTCCTAACCATCCGTCTGGTCACATAACCACTCAACAAACATACATTCACAACAACACAGTAAATCACAATTTATACTTGCACAAGATTTTTCAATTGGACCAAACATAACCCAAACAAATGTCTAAAAATAAAAAATATAAATTTCACAAGAACACAGTAAATCATAATTCATACAATTTCGAAAGATTTGGATTGAACATCAAATTAACCCATAGCCAAAGGCATTCTCTACAGAGGTTTATGCAGTCAAACACAAAAAAAATCACAAAAACACAGTAAATCTGAGAAGATTGACTGAAATTATAGAGTATTACCTTCAATGATTGCTTGCGAATGTAGAGAACGAATCCAATTCCGAAATCTGGTGACGGATCCCTTGCTTCCAATTCAATTTGATTCAAATGATCTGCATCAAAAAAATATGATTAGTGCTTTTAATATTCATATCATGAATTAAGCTCCACAATTGGATTGAAATTCGAAGAAAAATGACCGGAAATTACCTCACTGCCTTCAATTTCTTTTGTTTCTTGATTTCGAAAATCAAGCGGGAAGAACGAAGGAACGCGAGGAATGTTCTGCATCAATAAATCATAGTTAGGGCTTCGACATTCATACTATAAATTGAGCTACACAATTGGATTGAAATTCAAAGAGAAATGGCTAGAAATTACCTCGTTGCCTTCGATTTCTTTCGTTTCTTGAGATAAAGGCCCTGTGACCCGATCTATAAAAGACAGACGAGTTCAATTTTCGTCGCATTCCTCGTGTTCCTTCGTTCTTTCCGCTCGATTTTCAAAATCAAGAAACGAAAGAAATCGGAGGCGTCGAGGTAATTTCCGACCATTTCTCTTTGAATTTCAATCCAATTGTGTAGCTCAATTTATAGTATGAATGTCGAAGCCCTAACTATGATTTATTGATGCAGATCATTCCTCGCGTTCCTTCGTTCTTCCCGCTCCATTTTCTAAATCAAGAAACGAAAGAAATCAGAGGCGGCGAGGTAATTTCCGGCCATTTCTCTTTGAATTTCAATCCAATTGTGTAGCTCAATTTATAGTATGAATATCAAAGCCCTAAGTATGATTTATTGATGCAAATCATTTGAATTGAATTGGAAGCGAGGGATCTGTAGCTAGATTTTGGAAGTGGAATCAGCTTCGTTCTCAACACTCGCAAGCAATCGTCGAAGGTACTAGTTTGGATTTCAGTCAATTTTCTCGAATTTACCTTTGTAGAAAATGCCTTTGGCTGTGGGTTAATTTGATCTTCGTTCCAAATTTTTTGAAAAAGCATAGATTCTAATTGACCCTGTGCTGTGAATTTTTATCGTTATTTATTAATTTTGACATTTGTTTGGGTCATGTTTGTTCCAATTGAAAATCTTGTGTGAGTAGAGTTTGTGATTTACTGTGTTGTTGTGAATGTATGTTTGTTGAGTTGTTATGTGGCTAGACAGAAGGCTAGGAGACCCCAAGAGTAGGAGAGCTAGATATTGCATAACGCGGTAAATGTATATTTGTTTTTTAGTCTTGATCTTGAATCTTGCTGTGTTTTTTGAGTCTTGCTCTCCATTTTTCTCTCCCTTGCATAGTGCCCGCCTGTGTGATATTTGAGAAACTCGCGGTCACCCCTGTTGCAATTCCTTGCTTGCTACTTCCACAACTACCAACCAACCTCACGATTCACATAATCTTTTATTTCTGTATGGATCCCAAAACTTTTGACCCGCACAGATTTTATCCAACCCCAATTCCACAATCAAAGCAGGAAAATAAAATTAAATGGAAAATCGGTTATCTTTTCTCCCAGATATCAGTATCTCAGTCTGAAATGGTGTGGTTTGGCAGTAGCAGGGCATACAAACCAAACCCCCGGTCTATCACCTCTCTGGACTGCTATATTTTAGAAACCAGGTAAGTAAAGTATGTCATTAGTTCATGTAAAACCATGCATTAACACAGGCAAAACCCTAATTAATAACAAAGGTTCCCAGATTACTAATTGTGCAAGAAAAACTATCATACCTGGAGCAGCCATTTGTTGAGACTGAAAATGGAATTCTTCTACTTGTTAAAGACCTTAAGTTTCAAACGTGGTAGAACCCTAGTTTGTTCAGAACATCTTCTTTGCGAGCAGGGAATTCAATTACATAGGCATAACCTTTATCAACTTCCATCTATCATGGGGATTGGTTTCAAGCATTATGAGTAGTTAGTGGATCGTCGGCTATTTCTTTCTGTCAAAGACATCCGCATCTCCTTGTTTGTAAGAAGCGGTCCACCTTTACAACTCTTAAATCAGTTTGTGCACCATGATAACTACATTTCATCCATATCATGTTAGTCAAGTCCAATTAGGTTCCTAACAGTATAGACATCAAGAAACTCATGATTTACTGCTAATGAGAGGGGATGGATTCTATCTAACTGGGCTTTCACCCTTTGGCACGTATGGACAAGATGCTCCTTCGTTTACTATTGATTGGTAACTTCTCCCCCATCCCACTTTCTCTCCATTCGGCATGTGCTCCTTTCCTATCTGGTTTTCTCAAAGAAAACTGTGATAGTGCATGAGATAAAGCCTCCCAGGAGCAGGGTCTGGAGTTGTCATTAGAGACCACAGAGGATCAGTGACTTTTGGATCTGATTCTAAGCCATCATTTGAGTTGGTCAAGAGCATGAATGGCCTCTCAAACGGGCAGGTTTACTTCTTCTCGGGGAGATTGGCAAGTTCAAGACATCATTTTTCATTACTTCGCTGGTTTTTCTTGCCTCTATGAATCTTGCTGTGTTTGAAGTTGGTTATTTGTTTTGCAGCCTCGAGACAACAGAACTCCAAATGGAACGACTATGATTCTGCAACATTGTTTCCTATATCACATAGGCATCCCATGTACATGCCTCCTGGCAATAGAGTCATCTGGTAACCTCCGTTCAAAGTAATCAAGTTGTCCGACTTGATTCCCTCCAAGGCACATTAGTGGTAACGTCACCCAAAGTGGAGGTGGTGCTGATGCCCCGACATGATTTATGAAGGGGTGTGATATCCACACATTCTATATTACTTATCATACACCTTCTTAATTTTCGGCCGTCGAATCGGAAGAATTGAAGAAGATCAACGGATATAAATTATCAAGGGATAGTGAGAAGTAAAATGAGGTGTGTGAATAGCACACCTCTTCATGAATGATGGGAAGTGAAATGAGGAAGAAAAGACTGAAACTTAGCAAAATATAAACCAAAATTAACAGGTGTACTTACGTTTATTGAATAATGAGTTCTTTGATTCTTTGCACTTTTATCAATCAAGCATTTCGATTTTACGTTCCATGTTCTTTCAAGAGTGATTTTCTTGGAGGGGAAGGACTGAATAACTTGGCCCCTACCATCCATCTCAAGTGTTGCTACTGTATCAGCTTCAGCCATTGTTGATTCATAAAGGGTATGATATTCACACATCATATTTTACTTCTCTCACACCTTTTTAATTTTCGGCTGTCGGATTGGATGAATTGAATAATATCAAAGGACATAAATTAACAAGAGGTGAAAAGGGATGTGTGGATAGCGCACTCCATTCATAAGCGCCACCTTGTTTTGCTACAGAGTGATCTTTCCACGTACGAAATGGCAAAATCCTGTCTCTGTTTTCCTGAGACCATCAAAGGAAACTTAATTTTACTCATCACAGCCGAAAACAAAAATGCAACTATAAAAACCAAAATTTCAGTGCTATTACTAGCTTTCTTCGTGAAACTTACCAAGTTATTGTTGAGCGCAGGAGGAAGAACTGCCCCATCTCCTCTTTCCTCCAGGAAGATGACAATCATTTCGATAATGCCTTTTGGGTCCATGATGTGGAAAGCTCTTACTCACATATCTTTCTCTGGTGAATGCAGACAACGTTCACATACAATAGCAGGACGACGGGAAGGAAGCTTTAGATTTATACACAGTGAACAAAAAAATGAAGAAGACAAATAGACATAGGGTCAGTAAAACAATTTCGGTTAGAAATGTGACCAGGGCCGTCTCTGACATTTTGGGAACCCTGTGCGAATTTAATAAAAAGACCCTCCTTATTTAAAACAAAAAAATTGTTGTTGGACAATATATCCATACAAAGCTCAACAATCAATATCCAAACTTAATTGAAATCAGCATCCCACTTACAAATTGAATAATCTCCAAAATAAAGTCATGATTTTGGGTTCATCTTTAAAAAAAATGGAGCACAGCTAAAATAGAGATATGAAAATACATTTGTATTTGTGGAAGAAAGTAATACACAAGTTAGTTTTTTATTGCTTAATAGAAAAGTGGAAGAAAGTAGTATATAAGTTTTTTATTATTAAAAAAAAGAAGAAAATTAATATATTGAGTTCAAGCTTCGCTTAACTAATTGTAATGATGCTGATGATTTTTCTTTTCAGCTTAAAACTTTTTTTTATTAGAAATTTATACTAATGTGTAATATAAGGGAGGATCAAAAAATTTGGGGCCCTATGCCACTGCACCTTTTGTGCACCCCCAACGCCCCCTCTGAATGTGACGGAGGTCAACATGTAATTATGAAGAAAAAAAGAAACAAGAAGCTCAAGTAGAATAACTAGAAACATGTTCACCAAATTCACCTTAATTCAACACACCAATGGACGAGAAATATGTTTTTGCAACAATTACTATAGTCTCATTGTTTATAGTTTCATCGGGGAATCATAAAGAACAGCATTTGAGGGAGGAACCACTCACTTTGGTGATTCTTCAACGGTGTCATCTTCCCCAAGAACCCCTTGTCTTAGCATAGTTTCTAACATCCCAGCCATCTGGTACCTTAGGGACAACGCTTTCTCATTGGGGAAGAACCCAATCTGCTGATCAATCACAATGGATATTCAACAGAAAACAATTCATCACAAAAACTAATCTCTAAACTACCTCACCTGTTGATACTTGTATACAGTAAACATGTTGGTTTCTTTAATTCTGTATTCTGCCCCCTCCACCTCATCTTCTAATTCACAAAACGCAGTGCTTAATATATAATCTGCAAAGCAAGATATCATCAAAACATCAGAACAAACTAATAATCCTCACTGACATTCAATACACAAGTTTAGTTTCGTCCAATCTTAAACTTTGTGCTATTCCGAAATTTACGTTTGAATGAGACTGATGAGTTCATCTTCCCCATAAGAGCTAGTGGCAAGCTTTGTATTCACTTTAAGCAACAGATTCCCAACAGGATCAAATTGCTAAAAAACCACTACAACAACAACAACAAAGCCTTTTCCCACTAAGTGGGGTTGGCTATATGAATCCTAGAACGCCATTGCGCTCGGTTTTGTTTCATGTCCTCCGTTAGATCCAAGTACTCTAAGTCTTTTCTTAAAGTCTCTTCCAAAGTTTTTCTAGGTCTTCCTCTACCCCTTCGGCCCTGAACCTCTGTCCCGTAGTCACATCTTCGAACCGGAGCGTCAGTAGGCATTCTTTGCACATGTCCAAACCACCGTAACCGATTTTCTCTCATCTTTCCTTCAATTTCGGCTACTCCTACTTTACCTCGGATAGCCTCATTCCCAATCTTATCCTTTCTCGTGTGCCCACACATCCCACGAAGCATCCTCATCTCCGCTACACCCATTTTGTGTACGTGTTGATGCTTCACCGCCCAACATTATGTGCCATACAACATCGCTGGCCTTATTGCCGTCCTATAAAATTTTCCCTTGAGCTTCAGTGGCCTACAACGGTCACACAACACGCCGGATGCACTCTTACACTTCATCCATCCAGCCTGTATTCTATGGTTGAGATCTCCATCTAATTCTCCGTTCTCTTGCAAGATAGATCCTAGGTAGCGAAAACGATCGCTTTTTGTGATCTTCGCTAGATTGCTCCGGTCATTAGTGTGGATAAGTATATAAATGGATAGAGATAGGAAAGCAAACACAAGACGTACGTGGTTCACCCAGATTGGCTACGTCCACGGAATAGAGGAGTTCTCATTAATTGTGAAGGGTTTACACAAGTACATAGGTTCAAGCTCTCCTTTAGTGAGTACAAGTGAATGATTTAGTACAAATGACATTAGGAAATATTGTGGGAGAATGATCTCGTAATCACGAAACTTCTAAGTACCGGAGTGTGGTATCGTCTTGACTTGCCTTATCTGTCTCATAGGTAGATGTGGCATCTTCTCTGGAAGTACTCTTCCTCCATCCAGGGGTGGTATCTTTAACTGGTGGAGATGCACAATGTAATGTATCAATTTCACTTGAAGCTTACTTGTAGTTTCAGGCTTGGTCAAGCGCGATACAAACCATGTAGTAGGAGTCCCCCAAGTCGCCGAGCTAGGGGATCTGCTGAAAGAGGTGACAGACAAGGTAAGCAATCAGAGCTCCAAGCAATCAGTCCCAGATCAGAACTTTGATTTCGAGTACCGGCTGATTGTTCACATTCTCCCTATCTTGCAGGCAGCATGAAGGATAAAGAGAAGAAAAATGAGAAGATATGATATGAGATACTTTTGCTTTTGAAGAAGTAACTTTCCACAGGCTTATTCTTGAACTGGGCTGGAGGGTTTTCTGGTTTCCTCCAGAGTATAAGGCCGACTAAAGAATTTGAGGGTCAAACAAGTCCATCAAATCTAGAGTACGTTCGACCCTGCTAATATGGGATACTTTTGCTTTTGACAGAGTAGTGGATGTATCGGCACGTGTGCTGTTACGCTTGTCTCCACATGCTTCTTTGTATCCTTCTCACTTGCCCTATTTGTTCCTCTCGTAGATGCGATATCTTCCCTGGAAACATAAGATGTTGAAGATGAGTACTCGAGAGCAATGCCAGGTAAGTAATCAGGTAAGGGGTTCCAGGCAGTCAGTTTCTAACTGGAAGCTTGATTCCAAGTGCTGACTGATTGCTTTCTTTCTCCTTGTCTTGCAGGTAAGAACAAAGCCAAAGGAAAAGACAGGGAAAAAGCATGATATGGGATACTCTTGCTTTTAACCCTGATGATATGAGATATTCTTGCTCTAGTATAGCTTGTTTACAGAGGTATTATCGGGGGGAAAGAAAGTTGAATATTTCGAAAGGCTTCATTGGGAGTGCCCTTTCAGATATGAGGAAGGGTTGAGCATTTTTGCAGGTCTGCCTGTCCGTTGGGGATGGAGGTCGACATATATAGGAGTCTCCCTAACAACAAGTAGTAATGCTATTCCTTTACCCTGCTTGGTCATAGCACGGTAGTGGGAGCTGCCAGCCTCACATGTTTTAACTCTGTTAGAGCACTTTGAAAAAATGGTCTGTGGTATCTGGAAAGCTGATGTTGCGTGTGAAGATTACAGACAAGCTTTATCCAACGAAATCCGGCTCTTGAAGTTGGGAAAGTGGTGCCTCTTCGGTTTTCGAACAAGCAATCCTGTTGGGGATCTGGCTCTCGAGATTCGAAGAACAATGCATCTTCGATTTTTGAGAAAGCAATCCTGCTGGGGGTCTGGCTCTCGAGATTCGGATAGCAGTGTCTCTTCGATTTTTGAGAAAGTAATCATGTTGGGAGTCTGGCTCTCGAGATTCGGAGGGCGGTGCCTCTTCGATTTTGGAGCAAGCAATCTTGTTGGGAGTGTTTTCTCGAATGTGAGTAAAGGTTGGGCATGTTTGCTAGTCTACCTTGCCACGAAGCACAGAGGTTGACACACAGAGACTTTCCAATTATCCAGCAGTGGTACTGTTCCTTTACCCTTGTGGGTAATAATATGGTAGCTAGACCTTCAAAATTTATGTGTCTAAGTTTTGTTAGTATTGTTTCTTTGCTATTCTTTTACCCTTCTTGGTCAGAGCGATGTAGTGGGAGTTGCAAGCTTCACGTGTCTCAACTTTATCAGAGAACTTTGACAAAGTTATATGTGGTACCCATGAGCTAATGTTGCGTGTGGGAAGTGGGTGATTGAACAGTAAGATTCATGTGCTTTCTACTTCACCAGAAATCTTCGACAGAATGCCCATAATTTTCGCAAAGCTGAGTGTGCGTGTGACAGGTGCTGACAAGGCTGGAAAAGTAGGTGCCTCTTCAATTTCTGAGATCGGCCATCGTGGTCTCTGAGCAGCCCAACTTTTGAGAAAGCAAGCGCCTCTTCGATTTCTGAGATTGGCCTTCGTGGTCTTTGAGCAGCCCAGCTTTTGAGAAAGCAAACGCCTCTTCGATTTCTGAGATCGACCCTCGTGGTCTCTGAGCAGCCCAGCTTTTGAGAAAGCAAACGCCTCTTCGATTTCTAAAGCTCGGTCGGGTGCAAATTTTTATAGAGGCTGACATTAAGTTCCAAAGCACACTTGAATCTTCACCAGTAGAAGCTCCATTCTTGCACTTCTAAGATCTTGATTTGTCCGACATCTTCTCTCTTCAACACCTTTGAAAATGTCTGGCCCCTCCGACCGTCGTTTTGACTTAAACCTTGTTGAAGAGGCAGCCACGCCTTCTC